CCCCCAAAACCCCAAAACCCCAAAACCCCTCCCTAGCCGTTAAATTGAACTGCCCAATTAAAATTATTTTTAAGGTTTAAAATGGAAGTCACTAAGGAGAATTTTGATGAAGCATTTGAAGTAGTCAAAGAAGCGGTGAACGAGTGTGACATCATGGCTTTTGATACCGAATTCACAGGATTTTCGATCAGCATTGAAGACAGAGGGCACGACTATGATAGCATTGAAGACAGATACCAAAAGCTCAAATTTGTATGCAGTCAGTGCAAAGCTATCCAATTTGGACTCACCACATTCAAATGGCAGCCCGCCTCAAAGGAGTACATAGCGCAATGTTTCAATTTCTATATCCTAAAAACCGGGAGAAAGGGTGAAAACTACATTCTGACCATGAAGGCTGACTGAATGAACTTCTTAGCCGTGAATAACTTTGACTTCAAATAAACTCTACACTTCAGGCATTACCTACGAGAGACTTAGTGACTCAGAGAAGATCCTTAAATATGGCAGCGATACCAAGAACCTGAAGCTGCTTTCACCAGAGAATCAAAAGAGAAAGAAGCAGATCCTTAAAGAAGTCAAGAAGATGGTCTTTGGGGACTCCTATGAGCTGAAGTACGAGTTTCAGAGCGACTTGTTGAAGACAATGCTCACGACTATCATTAAGAAGAAGTATCCCGGTATTTATACTTACTATAAGAAAGGAGACAAACTGTTTAAAGTCATTAAGGGATCTAAATTCGTGCCTATTAGTGAGCAAGTAAACTCTATCCGCGATGGGATCTTTGATGACGAATCCTCTGGTTCAGATTCTACAGCAAGTAATGGACTCAATCTGAACAAAATCGAGAAGACACAGGGAATCAATGCTGCTAACAAGTACAAGAGTGAGATGGGATTCAGCCTTGTTATTGATGAAATGATTAAATCAAAGAAGCCGCTAGTTGGGCACAATTGCATCTATGATATCTGTTTTATGTATGATCAGTTCATTGCTCCATTACCAGATACCTTCTTAGACTTTAGCAGGGAGTGGAGAAAATGTTTCCCTGAGATGTATGACACAAAGTATATCACCCACTCTTATCAAGGGAAAATCTTCTTCACAACTCATTTGGGATCTCTTTATAAGAAGTGCAGGAAGGATAAGTCACTCAGAAATATGGTCAAGTTCAGCCTTGACGATGCTCCCATCTACAACAAATACCAAGAAGAATCCCAGGCTCTCCTCAGTGCCATGAACATCAGTCATGCTCACGAAGCCGCCTTTGACGCCTTCATGGCAGGCACTGTCTTCTTGGTCACCGGAAAATACCGTGAAATCGGTAAGGCCATGGAGCTCCAGAAGGAAGCCAGGAAAGCAGCTAGAAAACAGTTGAAATCTAACGGGAAGCCTAAAAAGAGGGAAATGAAAGCCTACGAGAAGGATACAGGCATGGAAACCCAGATCTCCAGCTGTGAATCCAGGATGTCCTGGATGGGCCTCAGAGGAGAAAAAGTCAACCTTGAACACATCGAAGATCTCAGGAACAAAGTTGTGTTTGATCTTAGCAATAGATACTTTGACTTCTCAGAGGAGTTCGATGGTACTGAAGAAGGGTTTAATACGAATAATGTCATATGGGTCAGATGGGCCGAGAAAGCTAATGATCCACCCACTGTTGCACAGGAAGACTGGCTCAACAATAAGATTGAGTATAAAAGCGAGAAGGTGAACATTATTGTTTCCAACATCGCAGAAATTTTGTCCAAATTTGGGGATGTTACTATCGCCAAAGATTCTCTAGTTTCCGCTTACATTGAATTCACTTCGGTCGAGCCCGGAATTTTCAAAAAGAGGAGCAAAAAGCTCCCGCTTTTTCAGACAAAAGCGGTTCTGAAACAAATTGAGAACAAGCTGAAAGATAAAACGGGACTTGACACTTTCGAAGTGTTTCCTTACAAAGATGCTGAGAAATTTTGCGCGAAATACATCCATGAGTAGTGTAAGAAACTCTAAATTTATTCAATAAAAGATTAAAATTGTGGGGTTTTGGGGTTTTGGGGTTTTGGGGTTTTGGGG